TGTCATTATACAAATTTATGTCCTCATTTGTCACAAAAACGCGCACACACACACACACACACACACAGTCTCAGTGCTGATGGCTGAAGTGTGTGATGAGATGGGGCTCGTCTCGTCTCGTGTCGCGGCTGATAGTAATTGATTGATGGCGGGGCCGGTAGCTGATGACAGGTTAGTTGTGTGGCCCTTAGACCTGCTAGTTGAGTCCTTACATGTGTGAAGTAGTGAATTACATCTCTGGACCGTCTCAGTGATCGGCCAATGAATACACCATGACGAGGTGTGTGTGTGTGTGTGTGAGAGAGAGAAAGAGAGAGAGAGAGTGTGTGTGTGTGTGTGTGAGAGAGAGAAAGAGAGAGAGAGAGTGTGTGTGTGTGTGTGTGAGAGAGAGAAAGAGAGAGAGAGAGTGTGTGTGTGTGTGTGTGAGAGAGAGAAAGAGAGAGAGAGAGTGTGTGTGTGTGTGTGTGAGAGAGAGAAAGAGAGAGAGAGAGTGTGTGTGTGTGTGTGTGAGAGAGAGAGAGAGAGTGTGTGTGTTAGTGTTAGTCTTAGTGTCAGTGTGCGTGTGTGTTTGTGTACACATGTATGTTATATATTTATTCTGTATTATTTGTCATAAATTCAAATACTCAAAATGTATGTTTTAATATAATTTAATATAAATTTAAATTTATTTTAAATTTAATATAAAACATTGTGTATGTTTGTTTTTAACATTTTTAATATTGTTTTTTTATGTGTTTTATATTTATGTTAAATATTTGTTTTGAAAAAATATTTTTGCATATAATATATCATAAATTCAGACATGCAAAATGGGTGTAGATTTTAAAGATACAAAAAAGTAAACATTCTAAATATTTTTACAAATAAAAAAAGTTTTTATATTAAATTTGTAATATTGTTTTTTAATGTTTTTGTTTATATTAAATACATGTTTTGAAAACATATTTGCATATAATAATACATTATAAATTCAAATACACCAAAATGCATGTATATTTAAAAAATACACAAAAGTAAAATTAGCTAAAAAAAAATAAGGAAGAACTGAAAATAAGCAATAATTATTTCTAAAAAAAAATCATCCTGAATGGTTTTAATACATTATTATTATTATTTTTTAATTCCAATATTTTGACTTTTTCTTCTCCCAAAGTACATTTCATAATCTATCTAGAAATGTGCTGATTTAAACACATCGTCGTCTTCCAGAAGTCTTTATGACATTGTGTCTGTAGATAGAAAGCTCTGCTGTAGAAACGTCTTCAGCTGGTTGTGTTCGGAGGAGGTTCTGCTCTGGATTGACTCCTGTACGGTTGTTTTATCCAGTAACACATAAAGCCCGTGATCTGAGCCTCATTTGCAGGAATAAATTAATCTTTTAGGGTGTTAACGGGCTCATAGATTCTTCTGGAATCACATTTACTCAGGCTATAGAGAGAGTAAAACCCAGTGCTGCCGTCTGATAGCTGTTGGCAGAAGAATCCGTCTTCATAAGAGACTGAGAGAAATGAAAGTCTTATCACACAAATCTGATTATCAGATTCAATGCAGAACCCAGAAACCAGGCACGTACTCAGGGCCGGCGCTCAAAGTCAAAAAGCAAACACACTAACATTTGTAATGTTTAAAAAAAGCACCTTAGATGTGTGTATCTTCTCAATTCTGCTGATGATTGCATTACTGCTCTAACATAACACTTCATTTCAGTTTCAACTAATGAGAAATTAACTTCTGTTCTGCTCGGTAGTGATCGTCTCTTTCACTCCCACTTGAGTTGTGTATATAGTGCATATTTAAAGTAACAATGCAATACATAATATCATATTCATTCATTAAATCAATCATCATTCATTGATGCATTTATGTATGCGTGCCTGTCTTTTATCTGGTGCAGTTGTGGTTGTGATTTTTAACTTTGAGCTTCTAGCAGCTGACAGATGAGAGGATGCATTATGGTGCTTTCTTTTCCATTTTAAATCTAGTGTAGTTTTGTTCATTGTGTTTTTGATGATGCTGACAGATTTCTCCCTTTTAAAAGTTAATATGTATATTTATTTTACGGTCCTATCCGCACATGCTGATATATTTGTGTGTAGGACGGTTAATTCCTGACTTCATTTCTGGCTCGTTTGAGAGCAACTGTAAGATCCGACCCTCATCTTTCCTGTGTCTCTCCTGACGTTCGCTTCGTGTTTCTCCTCTGCTTTCAGAGCAGCTCCAGAGGGCAAACGGCAGAGACGGACGGGAGCAATGAACCCTGGGATTGAGCTGGAAGACTCCTGTCCCGTTCAGGAGATGTGAGTGAGAAATGAGCGGTCAACCCCGGCTGACCCCGCAGACACAATTACAGCCTCGGCTTTGGTTATAGATGCTCATGGGTGACCTGTGTAACGCTTCAGAAGCTCGTGTGCGACGAGTCGAGAAACCACAACTACCTGCATGTTTCTAGAAACAGAAACCAGTGATGTTCAAGTCATTCAGCACCGAATCTGAAGACAACACGCGTTTATGGACCCAATGTTGAATGAAGGGATCCTTTACAGGTCAATATGTAGTTTATAGGACTACATTTTTAGGCCGTCTAAGATCAGGATGAGTTTGTTTCTTCATCAGGTTTGTAGAAATGTAGCACTGCATCAGTGTCTCAGCAATGGATGCTCTGCAGTGAATGGGTGCCGTCAGAATGAGAGTCCAAACAGCTGATAAAAATATCACAATAATCCACAAGTAATCCACAGCACTCCAGTCCATCAGTTAACATCTGGAGAAGACAAAAACTAAAACTAACACAGTTTTTGGCTTCTCAAGATGTTAATTGATGGTTGAACTCAAGTTGGACTCAATACGAGCACGTCACAAATCATGAAAATATGAAACACATCAATGGAGGATCATCTTCAAACCTGTGTCTTCTCACATAATAATGGATGATCACATCATGAGATCAGTGTAATGTACTCATGATCCTGGAGAAGCAGATCTGATGTTATTTATTAATGGTGTTTAGTGGTGATTTGAGCAGACCGAGTGCTGTCAGAATAATGAGTGAACTAGAGCTGATTACATTCATACAGGGTCAGAAATGATGATGAAGTCAAAAGAGGAGGACGAGGATGAGCTCTTCATCATCTGCAGCTTAGAGGAGATGAAATACTTCAGCTTTAATGTAAGCGTTGTCACGCTTAATGTCATGTTGTATTGTGAACACTTTATGATTGGTCTGATGTTTCTTGTTTTGAGCACAGATCAAACACAATTTTGCAAGGTTTATGCCTAGAAACCAGAAAGTGGCATTATAAAAAATATAAATAAAAAAAAAACGATTTTGCAATACATTTTAACTAAATGCATCGTGTTTAAGCATCATTTGTCTTTTTAAATGGAAATTAAGCTAAAAATATTTTGCAAGCTCTATGAAACAAGAAAGAAACAAGCTGACAATGGCATAATAAAAAATATATACAAATTAATTGTGCAATACATTTCAAATAAATGCCTCTTAAGTATCTTTTTTTTTTTTTTTTTTGGAAAACCAGATTGAAAAATTATTTTGCAAGGTTTTTGCTTAAAGCAAGAAAAATTTTTTTAATGAATTTAAAATAAATGCATCTTGCCGTTTGCTCATTTATTTTTATTTGTTTTATTGTTTGTTTGTTTGTTTTGTTTTGTTTTGTATTGTTTTGTTTTTTGGAACAGGAAAACAAGATTTTAAAAAAGGCCAGTGGCATAAGAAAAATATATACAATTCATTCTGCAGTAAATTTCAAATAAATGCGTCTTATTTTAAGCATATTTAGTCCTTTTTAACTAGAAAATAAGATAAAAAAGTAATAATTTTGCAATTTTTATGCTTGAAATAAGAAAGACACAAGTTGCCAATAGCATAAGAAAAAATATAAGCAGTTAATTTTGCAGAATATACAATTAATTTGGAAATGCATTTTCAAATAAATGCATATTGTTTTAAGCATTTTTAAGCTAGAAAACATAGTTAAAAATACTTTTTGTGCAGTTTATGAACACCTTGTACCGGTGGTAAATCACTGTAATTTATTGCTTTAAAGAAACACTAAATCAAGAGCACGAGATACAATAATAATGTCTGTTCTTTAAATATGAACACTTTCCCGGCTCATGGTCTCATTTGAATTGAACGCTGGGATAATATTTCAATTTTAAGATGTTGAACTCACAGCTGAATTATGGCTAGATAAGCATGTGTTGAATGGAGCGTATGCGATATAACTCACCTCTCTTATCTGTGACAAAAGTGTTTCTCAGTGCGATCCGGGCGATATTGGGCCGTAAACAGGCTGCGTGTGTGATTTCCCATCAGCCCCGTGTCTGGCTGCAGAGGTGACCTCCGTATCGCCGCCGCGCGCTATATCTGGATGTTGACACATTTTATGAGCGATTAGCTGCGTTACACAGAGACCCCGCTGCTGCGAGCGTGACCTCTGACCCCGGCTGCTCTGCACTCGCAATTAGCTGGCAAAATGAGCAGCACTAAATCTAGAGCAGGCCAAAGGGTTGACATGGAAACGGGCGGGATGGAGGAACGGGTTTATGATCGCTCGTGTTCGCCGGACACTTTATGGTGCAATCTGTGTGCAGAGAAGATATGAAGAGAGAGAGAGAGAGAGAGAGTGTGTGTGTGTGTGTGTGTGTGTGTGTGTGTGTGTGTGTGTGTGTGCGCGTGCGTGCGTGCGTGCGCGTAGTTAATGCTGTAGGTCAAGTAAAAAAGACCCTTTCTCCCATAATACACATTTATTGTAGTGTATTAAATTATTCCTTTTTGCAAAAGAGTTAAAAAGGACAACAACAACAAAAAAACCTCTAACAGATTGACTTCTGCTGTAATGAATTCAGAACAGATAAAGGAGTAACAAACCTAATGAAGGAGTGATCTATGAGAGGATATACATTACAGTAATTTAAACACAGCTAAAGAGTTTTCATATCAAACAATCTTATATAACAGGAGGTTTCCTACTTTATTATATTTTATATAGTATTGTATATTATAAAGATAACATGTTGTTAGCAAAATTAATGGACTTTTAATTGCTTCAATAAATAATTGAAATATTACCTGGAATATTATGTATGTGTGTGTGTGTGTGTATTATAGAGCATTATATCTAAAAACATTTTTCCTTGCTCCATTCGAACCCGAGGAACTTTAAAATGCACCAGATCATTTGAACAAAGTTTGTAGCATTCTTTTGTATTTGAAAAGCCGAGAGGCAAGTAAAATGGAGTTAAACCACAAATAGACTTATAAATAAAACAGTACCAATTAAAACTTTTTCGAGTATACAGAGATGGTAACTCTGCCTTATCATATAAAGTGATGTTTTTGATAACTACAACAAGTGATAAAAAGTAATGCGATATGAAAAACAATATTAAGTTTTTTTAGATTATGTCTTGGGGCATCTCCATAGACCAATAGTGGTAAAAAGGTTGCAGATACCAAATATTTCATGGCACTAAAGGAAAATAAAGATCTGTTTCTGTAATAAAAACCCAATTTAAGCTTAAGTTTAGAAATTAAGGAGGATATAATATCAGGAGGATTCCTTGGTAAAGCTTTGGAATTTGAAAAAAAAAAAATTAATTTAGTTTTATTTGTGTTTAAAACCAGCTTAAGTTGACATAAACGGAAGTGAACAATATCAAAGACTGACTGCAACTAATGAAGAGCTTGTGATGCTGATGAAGCGCAACAATAAATAGCAGTGTAGTCTGCGTGAACATTGGGAATGTTATCGCAAATATTATTTATATACAAGGAAAATAAATTGGTCCCAGAACAGACCCCTGAGGGACACCTTTACAGACTGACAAAACAAATGAGGTACAGTATGCATGTATAAAGTAATATTAAGTAAAATTACAAATGCTAATAAAAATTATTTACTTTAATGAAATTATAAAACGAAATTTTATTGTGGGGTGTAATATTGTCATCATGACATTATATGTTATGGCGTGATTGTGATTCAGAATCAGAGTTCATAATAAATATATATTTAAATTTAAGCTATGATTTTATTTTTTATATTTTGATAGATGTCCTGATTGGCCAGTAACTGTAAAATTTAGTAGCCAAATTTGGTTGGTGAGTGAAAAAGTTAATTGTCAAAGCCTGCTCACATCTATCTTTTATTAGCATCAAATATCAGTGTACTATTGATTTTGTTATGGTCTATTTCTCGAGTGTTTTGACTTCCTGTCCCTTCATTTTCTGTTTCTTCTTTCAGACAGATCTTCCAGTAACAGTCTTGTGTCTCGGAAGTGTCCTTTGACATCCACATCATAAAACAGAGGAGTTTCCATAGCAACCAATCCCACAGAAGCCATTTGTGAGGAAACGCTCACAATATCTGACGTTCTTTTCCCAGAAGACGAAAGCGTCCAGACGCAGGGTTGATTTTCATGTTTCGTGTTTTCTGTGAAAGTGTGTAAATCAAACTGAAGTTTCCTAAAATGTTCTGAGATATTCTGTCTGCATGGCATTAAACACTTGGAGGGTCAGACGACATGCGTGTGTGACGCCGAGGCCCCAGACATCACGCGAAAATGAGTTTTTGAGGGGAATACATTACGGAACGCTGTATTATAGATGAGGTGCTCTTATAAAAGATCACATCTGTCCTCCAGAGGAATCACAAACTACAACTCGCGAGTTTGAGGAAGATCTGAGTGAAACCGAGAGGCCACTTTAATTTTTCATCAGTCAGAGTTGGACGTGAACACAATGACAGACCAGAACGGATTTCATTGTTACACTGAAGAAAAACAAAAGTGATGTAGAAACTATTTTCACTCAGAAATTGCTAAATAAAATTCACAAATATTTACAAAATGGCAAGAAACAGACTGAATTACATGTGGAAAATTTGAAGTAGAAAAACAGAAATACTGTTTTTCAGTATTTCAAAATTATTTGTTTTATTTACAGCTTCAAAAAATTATTTTTACATTTTTAAATGTTCCATTTTCTTTTAAATTTAAGTAATAAGTAATTTAAGTAAAAATAAATACATTTAAGTAAAAAAAAAAAAGTAAATTGTAAGTAATTTTTGAGTGTGTGTGTGTTTTAAATATAGTAACAGTCTTGTGTCTCGGAAGTGTCCTTTGACATCCACATCATAAAACAGAGGAGTTTCCATAGCAACCAATCCCACAGAAGCCATTTGTGAGGAAACGCTCACAATATCTGACGTTCTTTTCCCAGAAGACGAAAGCGTCCAGACGCAGGGTTGATTTTCATGTTTCGTGTTTTCTGTGAAAGTGTGTAAATCAAACTGAAGTTTCCTAAAATGTTCTGAGATATTCTGTCTGCATGGCATTAAACACTTGGAGGGTCAGACGACATGCGTGTGTGACGCCGAGGCCCCAGACATCACGCGAAAATGAGTTTTTGAGGGGAATACATTACGGAACGCTGTATTATAGATGAGGTGCTCTTATAAAAGATCACATCTGTCCTCCAGAGGAATCACAAACTACAACTCGCGAGTTTGAGGAAGATCTGAGTGAAACCGAGAGGCCACTTTAATTTTTCATCAGTCAGAGTTGGACGTGAACACAATGACAGACCAGAACGGATTTCATTGTTACACTGAAGAAAAACAAAAGTGATGTAGAAACTATTTTCACTCAGAAATTGCTAAATAAAATTCACAAATATTTACAAAATGGCAAGAAACAGACTGAATTACATTTGGAAAATTTGAAGTAGAAAAACAGAAATACTGTTTTTCAGTATTTCAAAATTATTTGTTTTATTTACAGCTTCAAAAAATTATTTTTACATTTTTAAATGTTCCATTTTCTTTTAAATTTAAGTAATAAGTAATTTAAGTAAAAATAAATACATTTAAGTAAAAAAAAAAAAGTAAATTGTAAGTAATTTTTGAGTGTGTGTGTGTTTTAAATATATCTATGTATAGTTTTTATTAATGATTTTTCAGTTTTAATTTGAGTTATTTTAGTACTTCACATCAAACTAAATGAAAATGAGAAATGTTGCCTTGGCATCTAGATGAAATATTTTAGGTTGAGTTAATATTTTAATTTATTTAACATTTATTTTATTTCAGGTAATGAAGTGTTGTTGTTGTTGTTGTTTTGGTAAATGGTTTTAGTTTCAGTTAAGCCTAATATCCCTGCTTTGACTGTCTGAAAACCAGATGTCATCCTGATGGGAGCTGATCTAAAAAGTCAACATGAAATCAATACAAACCCATTTTACCTTTTTAACTAGTTAAGCAGTGACATCACTGGCAGCTCATCGGAGATGTTAGAATATTTTTGATGTAATATTTTTTAACTACCGACTTCTTTTCAATATCTTCTTAATTCCTCAAGTCCTGCTCACAGTTTTTCTCATTCAATATCCTGTTCCTCTAAAATGCATCACATTTCTGAAGTATAATGGCCTGTGTTTGTTGTCTCATGTTGACTCTGATCAGTATGGATTGATGAATGTCATATGTAAACAGTCAATATCATCTCATATGAATATGGAGAAACAGTTTCTGATGAATGCTGATGTGATTTCATCTAGACATATTTGAGGAAATTCACCATCTCTCATAGATCTTAAAGTTTCTTAGTCGTGTCAAGAACAAAGTCTGGCCGGATCATTTTCCCCCGCCGGCCGTGAGTGCGGCTCTAAGCACGTCGCTTGAGAAACAAATGTAGGTGTCAGGATTTTATGGAATGGCGTCCGTGAACATACAGCGTTTTATGAGTCAATCCTGTCGGCTGGGCTACAAAACAGCCTTGTAAAATTGTTTCACCCTGGAGGTCAGAAGAAACACACCTGCTGCAGAAACCAATCAGCAGAGACATGGAGCCCACGGTCACGCGCTTTCACTTTCTGAGATTCCATGTCTGAAAATAACAGCGTTTCTGAGAGCCATTCCTCATCAGAAACAGACCGGATCATAGATTACTTTGGATAAAAGCATCCTCTAAATGCATGAATGTATAAGTTAATGTAAATAGTTATTCTGGACAGGAAGATCTGTTATGGTGGTTCCTACTGCAGATTTAAATGTCAAAAACTGTATTACTGCATTATTAATGTTATTTAAGGCAAGACACCCCAGGTGAATAGGATAAAAAATTAACTAATATATATCATCATACTTCCCCAGTAGATTGATTACATTAAAAATTGCATAAATCTTTTGTATTGTGAAATGTCATGTTTAAATGCACAAACGGAGCATTAAATATGCATTAATATCATAGACTGTAAAAAAAAACATTGACGTAGTGTCCGTGACGTCACTCGTAGTGTTCAGAAGAGCATTTTTGAAGCCTAAAGTGGGCGGAGCCGACCGCCGCCATCTTGGCAGCGTGTCACTCTCGGATAATCGAAAATGGGCAAAAAGGCGGGACGTGGGTGAAGCTGAGACGCTAGTTGCTGAAACCACGCCCGTCTATGGTGACAGCAGTGCTGCCGTGCAAAGACAAAACACCATAACTTCGTTTTTGGTCGAAATTAGTTGTTGATCATTTTGGGACATATATGACCTCCTTTGTCATGTGTATAAGTATCTTGGAGAAAAGCCCCGGAGAAACCAAGACAGAACACAGTATCATCAGTTACCGCTCTTTGACTTAGTTTTAGATCGCTCAAATTAAGTTACGGTGCTCTGCATCTGTTTAGCCGTTCGTCAATATTACTGTGCAGGCCTGGAGTTATACGGTATTCTGCCTCTGTTTTTACTGTACATTAAAGTCTGCGCTTTTAAATTATGGTGTGACGCGTACATTCATACATCTGTCGGCACTTCTTTAGACAAACAAATTAGATAGATCGCGATCTAACAAACTGCTCCATATAACAAAGCACTGTAAACAAGCAACGACTAGATAACTTGGCAACAATAATTAATCGTAAATAATCTTTAAAGTTTTTTTTTGTTCTTTTTATAATGCAGATGCCAGCTCTCAGTCTAGGGCTGCCCACTTCTGCACGTGTGAGGATATATTTTTGAGGATTATTTGCACGTGTGCAAATAAATTTGTTGCAAAACGGTATCTACTCACGTTTAACTTTTTGTCTGGTTGTTACGGTCAGAAAAAAAATGGGAGTCTATGGGACTGACTCACTATTGGAGCCAGCCTCTAGCGGCCAGTCGATGAATTGCAGTTTTAGTCACTTCCGTGTTGGCTTCACGAGAGAGAGCGGGAGGTTGCCGCTTGATTAATATGCATACATTTCCAGAAAATAAATCTGAACGTTGGATAAAGCCAGGTTAAAAATTTTCTTTCAGTTTGTTGACACGTTAGAGTTAAAGGTTTTTACAGTGGGGATTTTGGATTTCTCTTTTTATCACTCCATAAATCAGAAAATACTGTCAACAGGGGAAAAAAAAACTAATTTTCGCCAAGTTTATAGGAATAAAATGTTGAATAAATCAGTGTGAATGCTACATGAACAAACCCCTCGGTAAAAACCTTCTGAATATAGAGAGGAATAAAACTGCTAAGTTTGGTGTGTGTAAGTGCTGCTGAAGTAGAGAAACAAACTTTTAAAGGTGCACACGGACAGCGGTTTAATTAAACCAGATAAACTGGAAAACATTCCCTGACTGTCTCAGTGGGCTTGTGGGTAATTCGTGTCGCTTGGTGAGACTCAGTCAGAGGTTGATTCATTGAGCACTGTGAGCTATTAGGCATACCCGCACCACAGCAGTGCATTGTGTGTTTGTGTGTAGACAATTTTGAACCTGGCTTCATCCAGTATTCACATTTATTTCCTGGAATTGTACGTAGATTTGTGTATTTTTATTTAGATAATGCATCATTTTCTTATTAAAACGTAACATTTCAGACAACTTGCCATACAAAACATTTGTCTTAACTGCTGAAGTATGGTGATACTGGGTAGTTAACATTAATACCCTATTATTTAGCTGAAGCGTCTTGCCTTCAGTGTCACAGATTTAAAAATATTTGTCTTTTTTATTATAGACTTATTTTTCCATATAAACATGTTCTATAGGTGTTTGTCTATTTTTGGTATTGATTCTGACTTTTTTTCACATAATACCATAGTTTTACATGGTAATGCCATGTATATTTTGACATTTACCATGGTTTACAATGTTTTTTCTTTCATGGTAATACCATAGTTTTTGGACATTTACCATGGTTTACAATGGTTTTTCAGGGTGATACCATGTATTTTTTTCAAACAATACCATAGTCTTGGACAATGGTTTTACAATGTTTTTTTTTCTTTTCATGGTAATACCCTGTACATTATCATGTCTGAGTTTGCTTGTACAGCTTAACCCTGTTTTACAAATACTATAGATTTATGATCAGCCATGAAACTAAAGTTATCTGCTATTGCTTTTGGCTAAAATGTGCATGGATAATACTCATAATTCATAGATTAGTTCATGTATGTATGGTTGTGTGTGTGTATGTGTGTGTGTGTGTGTGTGTGTGAAGTCCCTATGGGTTGGTTGGTTGGTGACCTACTTTGCTTTTTGCATATTATGTTGAAAAGCTTCTGATCAATTCCACAGTGAGCTGCGTCTCCCCAACCAGTAATAACTGTTTAAGACTAAAAACCATTTAAAATCTCCGCCACAACACACATTAATGTGCAGTCTGACCAGCGCTGGCTGTGTGTGTGTGTGTGGCATCAGTGTTACTGACACAAAAGAGCCTCATTGTTTCAGCACTGATGCTCAGTGACTCCTCCCACTGATGTGGCCACACCCCTCC